ACATACAGGCACATAGTTGAAAAACCAGTGAGTATCAAAGGGCTTATAAAGAAAAATATTAATTTCCTGCTCATTTCTCTCTGGTCTCCATAGGTCCCCATTTAGGACTCTATGGTTCTTCTGTGTCTGCTCCCTACACCTAAATAATATGCTTATCTTGTGACAAGTTAGTTATCCATCTTGGACATGATCTCCTCTTGGCTTCCTGGTGGTGGAGGACTTAGCTCACTTACATTTCTCCTTCTCCGCCTTTCTTTTCCCCATCCTCCAACACAATTGGGAGCTAGATTAATAGTTATGTCTTTTTACTGCTGGGTTAAATTGTATAATGTTTTGCTTTTCCTGGAGTTAATAATTACCTTAATTTTTTAGTGTTGTAGTTTGCTACGGCTCTACCCTACACACACAAAATTTTTTTCTAAATACTTCAACAGAAATTTCCGAAGAAACACTTGATAATGGGTTTTCCAAATGCTCCAACAAAGCAGGCAATGCATCAGTCCTGTATATCCCTGGGGTCCGCCCGCCCTCTGCGTAGTTTGTCCGGTGTTCTCTGGCCTGGTGCACACACGACTTTCCGTGATTTCCCTGTGCTGCTCAGCTATGCTCCATTTTCTCTGTTCTTATTGTCTGGATCTCGTATTAGATGTTGAGCCCTCCTCGATTGAGCCCCGACTCTTCCTCCCCTCCCCTCATTTTCCATCTCATTTTCTTCTGATTCAGCTTTCTGAAAGATTTAGCCAGCTTTATCTAGTAAGCCTTCTATTGAATTTTTTATTTCAGAGACTACATTTTTATTTTGTACAAGCTCTTGTTCTGTTTATTCTTATGTGGCCTGCTACCCCAATAGCTTCCAAGTCTTGTTATGTGGATGTTATATATCTCTCTGAGGATATTAATTAATACCTGTTGAAACTTCATTCTGTTCTTTGCATTGATTGCATTTTCCTCCGTTTTTTTTTCTGATTGTCTTATTCATTTAGTTATTCATCAAATATTTATTGAGTGCCTTTTATGTACTAAGTATTGTTCTACATGTTGAGGATATAGTGGCTAATAAGATAAAGTCCCCTGACCTTATGAAAGACCATATTCTAGCAAGGGAGAAAAATAAACACGTGAATTACATTATGGCTATGAATAAAAATAAAGCAGGAGGAGGGTGTTGTTTTAGAGTAGCCTAGGAAAGCTTCTCTGAGTGGGGTCTCTTTACTCCTGCCACCTGGGCTGGGATGGCTCAAAGCCTGGCTCAGCTGGGCTGGGATGGCTCAAAGCCCGGCTCAGCTGGGCCTGTGCACCAGAGTGCCTACATAGCGTTACTTCATGTGGCTTGGGCTTCCTCGCAGCATGGCTAATGGCATCCAAGAGGGAATGTTTTGGGAGAAAGCTTTTCAAAAGGCCAAGACAGAGCTGCAAGGCTTCTATTGGTTCCAGGCAAGTCATTAAGGCAAGCCCAGATTCAAGGAGGGAAATTAGACTATCCCTCTTGATGGGAGGGTGTCTGTTGAGGTCACACTGTGAAGATCACAGGAGCTAGGAAGTGTTGTGGCCGTCTGGGGAAGATACAATCTACTGCATGTTCTGATTTATGCTAGTTGCTATTTCTCCAGTGACCTAGCATTTTTTGAAATTATGTAACTTTGGCTCTTCCCTCTCCTATTCTTCTTTTCCTTATAATTTCTTCCTTATTCCTTCATATCCTTGTTGGATGTGGGGAGAAGAAGGGAACAAATGCGTGTTGTCCATTGGCTATTTCACAGACGAGCGGCTTCGGATAATCCTCAGTGTAGATTGTTGAAAATTGGTTGCTGATGGGGAAGCAACGGTACAGCTTAGAGACAGCGGAAGTAAAATGTTTTCTTTTTCCTTTCTTTTCCACTCTGGGTTTCTATCTGAAGAAAAAGGCACCCAGAGGTTAGGCGACTTTCCAAAATATTGCTCGGCTAGTGGCAGAGCTGAGACTGCATTTAGAGTTGAGTTTCTCAATTTTTAAAAAGGATTCCCCAAACAGAAACCTAACTAAAAAACCCAAATAAACAACAACAAATAAAATGTATTCAGAAGTCGCAGAAACTTAGGCTATTCTGAATTAAGTTAAACCAGTTTTCCATGGGACTTCTCTGAGGCTTTCCTGTGCTACCGCACGTTATGAATCACGGAGGAGGAAGAAATGGGACACCTGGGTGGCTCAGTGGTTGTCTCCCTTCAGCTCGGCACCATCCCGGGGTCCTGGGACCGAGTCCCACATCGGGCTCCCCGCATGAGGCCTGCTTCTCCCTCTGCCTGTGTCTCTGCCTCTTTCTCTGTGTCTCTCATGAATAAAGAAATAAAATCTTAAAACACACACACACACACACACACACACACACACACACACACACAATGAAGGAGAGAGAAATGATAGATGTGCTGGAGAGAAGGGGCTGGGGGCCGATTTTCCAAATTTCTGTGATCAGTTTTGGAAGTCGTCTCCGAAAGTGGTGCTTCACAGACCAGCTCCCGCAGGCCACAACTATTTAGACACATTCACGGGTGTCTCTCCGAAGGTCCCGGCTCCCTTTCCCATCCTGAACTTGTATCACCCTGATGAGCTACCTGTTTCTCCGCTTGGCCACCGCCAGAGGTGCGCACAGCGCAGACAGACGGTCAGTGTGCAGTGTGGCCAGTGGGGTCCGCAGACGCAGTAGCTGTTCTGCGCCTCTGTGTGCAAGTAGGCAGGCTCGGCCAAGCCCGCGACCTAAGGGCATGTCACTTATACCGGGAGGTTAGGGAAGAAGATCCTCCCATACCTAATTTGTCTTTTCAGGCTCCAGCTCCCCCTGCTCATTGGAAGTGGACTTGAGAAAACCACTCTGCTCGCGGTGTCGTTGCGCCGATGGTGTCGTTGTGCCGATGGTGTCCTTGCGCGACTCACCTGTTCTTTTTGGCTGAAGGTTCAGGGTCATTTCACTTCCGGCCACCAGGTGGCAGAGCGCTGTCGCTCTATGACGCTCGGACTGTCCCTGTGACCGATCAGCATCACCCACCAAGAGAAGAGGCGTGGAGGGTGCGCCTTTGCGGGACAGCAGTACTTCTGGAACACTCTGGACATGGGGTTCCAGCTTGTGTTAATGATGCCTGAGTCTATTCCTGGGCCAAATGATCGAGCCACAAACAGGACTTTTTATAAAAAGTGCTTTGTTTTTTTCTTGGTGATTTGTCAGCTTCCCAGATTTACTTGCGGGCATCTGTTGCTTCAAGGTCCGTTTTCAGAAGGCCACAACAGCTACTTTTTATTTTATTTTAGATATTTTATTTATTTATTCATGATAGAGAGAAAGGCAGAGACACAGGCAGAGGGAGAAGCAGGCTCCCTCTAGGGAGCCCGACGTCGGACTCCATCCCGGGACTCCAGGATCACACCCTGGGCCAAAGGCAGGGGCTCAACCGCTGAGCCACCCATGGATCCCCCGTTTTCTTATTTTATTTTTTTACTTTTTAATTGAAAAAGTAAACTGAGGGCAAGCCCGGGTGGCTCAGCAGTTTAGCGCCTACCTTAGGCCCAGGGCGTGATCCTGGAGTCCCGGGATCCAGTCCCACGTCAGGCTCCCTGCATGGGGCCTGCTTCTCCCTCTGTGTCTCTGCCTCTCTCTCATGATTAATCAAATAAAATCTTAAAAAAAAAAAGAAAAAGAAAAAAAGAAAACGTGAAATGTCAACTTTTAAAACTCCTCCCATTCAGAGTTGGGATATTATAAAGAAGACCGGAAGGACACAGAATCACCTCCACTTCTTTTATTTGGCTCTCGAGAACAAAGATGTTATAGATTTTTATGGGCGCAGGATACTTTCTACTTTTCTAGTCAAAGACAAGGTTAACTTTTTCAAAGGAGAGGAAGGATTAAGATAACGCGTAGAGTTCAGGAGAGAGCCGCACCCAGACAGCCCTGAGCCGCTTGGCTGGAACACTTATGATTGTGGGGCCCATGGAGGGGGGTTGTTCTAAAGAGGCCTGGAACCTTGTGACACGAGGACAAACTGCATATCAGCATATTTGCAGCCAAGGCGCCAGACCCTCGCCTTGAACTGGTCCTCGTGCACGTGGCTCCGGTCCTGGCGTGTGCGGATGTGGGAAGGCTGAAGGCACTGCGTGTCCTGTCCTCCCTTCCCCTCCGCCCTTTCTGTGCCGCCCCAGGATGCGGCCACCACGGGCCTCTGACTCTGCACCCACGTGCCGAAGGCTACTGCCCTGGGCTTCACCAAGGGCCCGTGGGGGCGGCCGGCAGGTGGAAGGCGAGGCCACAGCCGCTGGCGCGAGGTCCCGGGGGCCTGCCGTGGGGAGCGCTCGGGAAGCAGGAGCGCGGCCCGGGCCCCCGCCGCGTCGCGGGGCTTCGTGTCGCTGCCCCTCCCGCCGCATTGTGCTCCTGCCCCGCCGAGTCTGCGCAGGGCGGCGTACGGGCGGCCGCCTCCCGCCCCGCCCAGCAGCCGCGCGCAGCCTCTCGGGCTCACCGGGGCGCCGCAGCTCGCCGGGTCGCCGCCCCCCGCCCCCCTCGGCGCCCCCCGCCGCCCCCCGCCGCCCCCCGCCGCCCTCCGCCGCCCCCCGCCGCCCTCGGCGCCCCCCGCCGCCCCCCGCCGCCCTCGGCGCCCCCCGCCGCCCTCGGCGCCCCCGCCGCCCACGGCGCCCCCCGCCGCCCCCCGCCGCCCTCCACCGCCCCCCGCCGCCCCCCGCTGCCCTCGGCGCCCCCAGCGCAGGCCCGGGGTGGGGGGCACGTCCCGCCACTCCGGCTGCCCGGAGTCCCCGCAGGAGCGCAGCGGCCCAGGCCCAGGTCCCCGCCCCCCTGTCCCGCCGAGTTGGGGCGGCCTTCGGGAGCCGGGAGCTGCGGAGGCGCCCGAGGAGGAGCTCTGCCGCCCGTGATTGTCACAACTGCCCTGAGTCTCTGCTGTCACGCAGGCCCCTCATTAATCTCTGCGGACGCCAGATTACCGCCGCTTACGGAAAAAAACGTGCTTTCATGAAAGATTCATGAAAAGAGGCAGTTTGTGGGGCCCACCGCCTGGGGTCCTAAAACCATCAAGAGGACCATAAGGAGCGAGTTGTCCCAACGCCCGTGGGGACCAGGAGGGCGAAGCTGGAAAGTGGTTCTGTGGACAGCGGGGTTCCCTGGGGGCGGGGTTCCCTGGAGGGCGGGGTTCCCTGGGGGTCGGGGTTCCCTGAGGGCGGGGTTCCCTGGGGGCGGGGTTCCCGTGGGGGGCGGGGTTCCCTGGGGGTCAGGGTTCCCTGGAGGCGGGGTTCCCATGGGGGCGGGGTTCCCGTGGAGGGGGTGAGGTTCCCTGGAGGGCGGGGTTCCCGTTGGGGGCGGGGTTCCCTGGAGGGCGGGGTTCCCGTTGGGGGCGGGGTTCCCTGGAGGGTCGGGGTTCCCGTGGGGTCGGGGTTCCCTGGGGGTAGGGGTTCCCGTTGGGGGCGGGGTTCCCTGGAGGGCGGGGTTCCCGTTGGGGGCGGGGTTCCCTGGAGGGGTGAGGTTCCCGTGGGGGTCGGGGTTCCCGTGGGGGTCGGGGTTCCCTGGGGGCGGGGTTCCCTGGGGGGGGCGGGGTCCCCGTGGAGGGGTGAGGTTCCCGTGGGGTCGGGGTTCCCTGCAGGGGGAGGGGCTTGGTTTGGGGCTGGGACCGTCTTCGCGCAGACGCACTGGCTTTCTTCTTGAGCTCTTGTCTCCCGCGAAGGTGCGTGGGTTCTAGGTCTCCCAGCATCAGAGGCTGCTCTGAAGCCCGGCTGAGAGGAATCGTAACAGAAATCTATAACCGGGGCTTTTGTATCTCCCTTTGATCGGATTCCTTTTAGTGTAGAAGTAGCGTCTTCTGCGGTGTTCGGCACAGGGTCGGTCTCGGGAGAGAAGCCGAGGGCGGCTGCGAGGCGGGCGGGTTGGGGGAGGCCAGGCCGGGGGCGCAGATCCCCCCCCCCCGGGGCTGCTCCGGCCGCTCTCCGCTCCCACTCGGTTCCCTTCGTGTGTTTGTGGTTTTCTAGAGGTTATGGCGATTATTAGGGCCGAAGAGTGTCGTCTAAGTTTCATGTTTGTTTGGTTTTTAAAAAATATTTTATTAAACAAGTGACAAAAAAATGGCACAAGAATAAACTTAGCATCTAAGCACCTTTGGTTTCTTCTGGCTAAAACCTTCATTTCCTTACAGTTTTCTCAGAAATCCGGGTGTGGAATCAAACTGAATGCGGGTCGGAGGATGACTTGTTTAAAGTTTAACTTCATGTCCTCTTTGAAGAGATCTATAGCGGTTGCTTTCTCCGCCGTGCCCTGGCTTTCTGAGTCTCTCGTTATCCTCTTTCTGAGCCCTTTAGCCACTGCTGGCAAAGCCACGCCTGTACCACAGGTGCCAGGAGGTGTTTTCACCAGGTCACTTGGTGGTGGTGACAAGTGTGACAGCTTGCTCTCACTGGCGTCCCTAAGTCACTACGTAGGCTGAGTGCAGGGTTCCTCATCCTGGGAAGCCAAACCCAGGGCCCTGTGCACCGTCCTGCCAGAGGAGGGCGGGAGTGTGCGGTGGCCCCAGGCCCAGCAGGACACCAGATCCCCCCTCACAGCCCCCCACCACCGCTGGGCCCACTGATCACATTCGAGCTTCTTTTCCTCCTTTTCTTTTTGGATGGGTTTCTGCCCCCCATCCTGAGTGCTCCCAGGCTAGTTTGTCTGCGTTTGGGGAGCCAGCTCTCATAGGATGGGGGTTTGATGCTTCTCAGAGAATGTGAGTTGATGGGCATGAAGGGGCTACCAAGGCGCCTGTCATGGTGGGGGACCCATGGCAGTGATTTCTGGCCCTAACGGCCTTCTGTCGGCTGACCTGGCTTGAATGGCTCTTTTCTACAGATGGAGAAACAGAGGCAGGTTTTTCCTAGAGGTCGGAGGGTCTGCTGGTGGCTTGCCTTAGTGGAATCACACCTCAGGGGCTCAGGAAGGTTCAATGAGTTATGTCTCCCCTAAGTGCAAGGCCCCACACACTTGGCTGCTCTTGGAAGAGGACTGGTCTGCTTTATGGCACTTGGGTCCCTTTTGGGGCTGACTCCCAGGGCCCCCTGCAGAAAGGGCAGGCTGGTTATAATAACTGCAATCTGCTGCACGCCTTTACTTCCTTTGGGAGGGGACCAACAGCAATATGACCCTGAATGTGCCTGGCTTTGCAGGGTTGGGATGCCACTCTCACTACGAGAACACATGCATCAAACTGTCTCTTGGGGAATCTCCCTAAATTTGATATTTTGGTACAACCTGTTTCCAGTGCTGAAAAAATACATTTCTTCTCCATTAGCTCATTATCACCTAGGAAATTACCTGTTCTCAATTATCCTGACAACTCCTAAGCTCATAGTCCTAGATTTTCTTTTTAAATCTCCTTCTAGTTTTTTTTTTTTTTTAAGTTCGTCAGGATGTCTGTACAATAGCTCTTTTGTCTTTTTCTTTCTTTCCCCATACATAGCAACTTTTCAGGATGTGGTGTTATCTTTCTCACACAAACTCAAATTGACTGCAAATAGGTCCCACTGGATACTTCACTTGCCTAAGCCAATCCTCTGTTCTCTTCAGGGAAAAACACTCTATAAGGGGTGGGAGAGGAGAGAGACAAAACCCAAGCAGTATTACATTCTGGTGAACTCTATCAAAAAGTCTTGGTTTAATTGAACATTATAGACTTAAACCCCACTCCTTCCCATATGTCAAAATATTGCTTAAAATACTATTTAATTAGGGTTAAAACACTTAAACTATTTCATCAATAGGGTGAAATTATACATGAAATATTATATTAAGAAACTCATCACAGATTAATAAAGCTGAAAAGGGACTTATATACATATCCTGATGACCCTCAGAAGAGGAAATAGAAACCCTTGCAGAGAGGTAAGGTAATGTGAGCAACAATGGAAGGATATTCCATCGTGCAAGGTGAAAGGATGGCCCCAGTGCTCCACCCCTCTCTGAACCCTGCTGAGGAGTGTCACTTTATAGTGCCCTCCATGCTGTCAATGGACTGGCGTGGGCCAATGGACTGGTAACAAATGTGACACACCCAGCTGATGGAAAAGGCTCACTTTCTCTCTTGCTCCTCTGCTACCAACAGGAGCATGTGGCCAGGCCAGCCTGCAGGAGGAAGGAGACATGAGCCTCCAGGGACATGGGCCCTAGGTGATCCAGTCTACATCAGCCAACCCCCAGTTGGACCTCAGATACAGAAATTGGCCCTCCAGATGAAATCAGGGAACCTCACAGGTGTGTGAGGTTGTTGTTGCAATGGCTCTGAGCTTCGTGGTTGCTTATTTTAGGGCCTGTAGTCATATAATGGACTAAAGGATTGTGTGCCCCCGCCTCCCCCCACAATGTGTTGAAGCCCTAACCTCCAGTGTGATGGCATTTGGAGAGGGAACATTTGGGATGCAGTTAGGATTAGATGAGGTCGTTAGAGTGGACCGTGGTCTGATGGGATTAGTAACTTTATAAGAAGAGACACCAGGGGCGCCTGGGTGTCTCAGCCGGTAAAGTATTTGCCTCTTGATCTCAGCTCAGGACTCCGTCTCAGGGTCTTGATCTCAGGCTTGTGAGTTCAAGGCCAACAGTGGGCTCCTCTCTGGGCATGGAGCCTACTTAACAACAATAAAATACATACATACACAGACACATACATACATAAGAAGAGACACCAGAGAGTCCCTGTCTCTCTGTCTCTCTGTCTCTCCCTCCCTCCCTCCCCTTGCACACACCGAGGAAAGGCCACCTGAGGACACAGGCAGAAGGCAGCCGTCTACCAGCCAGGGAGAGAATGCTTACCAGCAACTCAACCTGCTGGCGCCTTGATTCTGGGCTTCCAACCCCCGTAGCTGTGAGAGCTAAGTCTGAGCCCCCAGCAGGGCAGCAGTAGAGCCTCCTGAGGGGGCGAGGGCAGCCTGACTAGGTCTTAGGCAACTTCCTGGCGTGGAGAGTGCTTCTCTATTTTATGCACATCCCCTCACCCTTGTTGTGAATGCACACGTGAAAGTTTGGAAGTTCTTTCTTCTCTTCTCCTTAAGGGTTTTCTTCACTTGGTGCCCTCTCCGTGTTCATGGGCCCAGGCCAGGGCTTGTTGGCACCAGGCTGCCATTGCATGCGGGCCAGCGCTCCCTGCTCCTGCGAGCACGGGCTTCCCACCTTCAGAGGAGGCGTAAGGACCCCCGAAGCGGCTGCACACCCTGTTTTGGACTCAGAACTGTCTGCTCTCTTCCTTTCACCTGTTTCAAATGACAACAGAAAGAGGAAGTTTGAGATGTAGTCATAATGTTTTCTGATTTCTTTCTCCAACAGGGAGATATCCATTTGGGAGGAAGGTCCTAGTTAAGCAGAACAAAAATTGACGTTGGAGAATGGAAATAATTTGATAGAGCCTGCTAACAATGATCAGAGCAAAGGACTCCCTGAGGAACTAACTTCAGACTTCAGGCATCGCGTTGTTTTTCGTGTTCACTAAGCTTAGGATTTGTAAAAAGGATATGCTTCCTGTCTGGGTCTGGCTAAAGAGGTTCACTATTGAGGCTAAAAAGTGTATCAACCTTATTAGTAACCCATTTGAAAAATAATGATATTCTATGTGGTATTATTCAGATTATGAACACGTGTGCGACTATGGAACTATATATGATTATGCTCATTTCATTAGTCAGTATATCCTAAATGATGATTTCTAATATATATAAAATCTAAACCATTTTTAAATGTAAATGCAGTACATGGAACTGACGGGAAAGAACTGTCTGCTATGCCCAGAGCCTTGAGGGCTCTTGTACATTTTGCTACTGGGGTTGACTGAAAGGAGAAGGTCAAAAGTTTGTTGTTATTCTTTGTCGAATATATTTATACCAAGCCTTTCCCCCAAAAGATTTAAGATGGCTGATTTGGTTTTCTCTCTGGAGTATGCATAAGAAATGCGGACCAAGGAGCAGCAAATTGTGGAAACTAAAGATGAAGGTTGGAGGCCACGAGGGGCAGGGCCTCTTTGGGACAGCTGGGTGACCCAAACCATCCTGTGCTATTCAGACTCAGATGAAAGTGCTTTCAGCTACCCCCATTCCTCTAATCGCTGTCACCTCCCATCAAGAAGAGGAGAGGGGGAATCCTGGAATCTTCCATGGGACAGAGTGGGGAGGGGTCTCTCTGCGAGCATTGGCGTAAAGTCAACAGAAAACTCTTTCATGCTTTCAGCCCACTTGAGTAGGATCTGCTAGGTTCTGCCATCGATGAACCTGACCTTAGACACAGAGCAAGGCAACAGCTGTTGAAACAGGAATATCTAAGCTGGGAGTGGGCCTGTCCGTGAAATTTGTGTATCTCCTCAAACACGAGAAATAATACAGTTATTTAGTCACACAGGGAATCCATTAGACTTGGCAATTTAATTCCTACTTCCTTAAGATCCTTACTTGAGGGCTTGGGTGGGAGCAGGGGGGTGGGCAGGACTGTCTTCATAGTTAGCATAATAGAGCTGATTAGATTCCCTAGGGATTCCTGATTTGTTCTTTGGGTGATTTTCAGAAGGTGATTTAAAAAAAAAAAAGTCAGTCTTGTCTGAAAAGAAAATAGGTTATGAGCCTTGATCGCTTATCATTTCAGATTAATACTGAGATGCTAGAGGTTGGAGATCTGTCAAATGGGGCAGCAGAAAATACAGTTATCTCCAAACAGGAGAAGTGCAGATTAACAAATTTCATATCCAATAATATTTATTGAGCGTTTGCTTTGCTAAACTGAAAATTCTCCATTCTGAGTCAGTGAGTGTTCAAAGCTTCACAGAATAAATCTGTATTAAATGAAAAATAAATCAATTGTCACGGTCATATTGCCCAGAAAATTTACAGCTGAAATAAGACAGAGAAAAGTGACCCCACCTTCCTCTTTCCCTCTGGCTCCCCCTGTCACTTCACACCTATTGGCGGGTCTCCCAGGCATATACCCGCCGGTTCTGCTCAGGATTATCCAGGTGCGTAGGAAGAAGGGTGGTACGGGCTCCTGCTTAACGTGGTTTGCTTTGTTTTATCAGGAGCAGTTCAGATGCTGAGTGTCAGCAGCGGAAGCTCTGTTGCTTCACCCAGCCTGGGCTCGTTCTCCTCACTATGCTGCCTTTCTCTTGAAAGCCTCACAAGAAAGTCAAACGGTAGTATTTTTTCCCAAGTGCTTTAATTAATTCCATTTCCAGCTGAAAAGGAGAGATCTTACAGGAGTTTTGGCCATACCACTCTCGTTCACATTTCAAAGGGAAAAGAAGATTATTTCTAATTGTGGGGTTTGGGGTGGGTGGCATTTTATTTTAATAATTAAAAATTTGTCTTACCAGTAGCCTCTGTCTGGAGAACTTACGGAATTTGCCAACAAGGGACAGACCACTGGCTGAAGGATTTGCACACTCTGCCCTTGACCGCAGACGGTCCCACAGGCAAATCCACTTTATTTCCAGTCCTCCCTGATGGAAACTTAGGGGTTTGGCTTTTCAAGGTCCCTTCTAGCTCTACAATTATATAAGGGGCACTGTTTCTGCAATCAATAGCTGAACTAGCAGCTCATTCCATGGGGAAGTTGGAGCCAACCCAAGTTCCTGATGGGGAGCCGTCCTACGTAAGCCTGGATGCCCCAGATGCTTTTCCTTCATGGGTGCACGTGCCTTCCAAGGGTGAATCTGGAAGAACGATCCAAACTCTTGGGGTCAGAGGGCTTTACTTGTGAAACTTAGCTCTTTCCTTTTGTATCCTGTGGGTCCCACAAGACTTCACCAATTTGAGGTCAGGATATAATCTTTGTACTACAAGATTGTGACCCAGACTCTTATTGCTCATTCTGTCACCGTGGCTGAGTTTTTTCAAACCAAATCAGTAGGGAAATAAGAATTGTTCAAGCCCACTGGGAGTTTTGGGGAAAAAACTAATTTCTTTTTTTCCCTAATTGCTAACGATAGTGCCAGAGAGACAGTCTAGCTGCTAGTGACATACTCATCCAAGGAAAGTTATTTAAGTTCCAAACCCCCACTCTGATAGAGACTGATCTTGTCAATTTACTGTTTGGCATGTACCGCAGAAGTGCTCTTATTATCTCATAGGTAACAATGACTCATTGTTAGTTCATCTAAAAAACTGGTTGAAGTGGGAGGGGCATCATAAAAAATGTTATGTGCATGTCATAAAACATTTGTTATAACTTAAAATATATACCATAATTCATGGATGCTAAGATGCACATTTTTTTTTTACATTAACGTCTCTGAAATCAGGATTGTTTTGTAATTGCTGTCTGCCAGGCAAAGTTCAGGGTGTGCTTGCCATTGGCAGCATGAGTGTATTATTCTGCTCTTCCTGGTGCCACCACTGGACAACGGCAGATCCTCTATGTTCTGAGCCACAGACCATTTAAGGGCTCTTTGAGGGAGGAATATGAGTCCTGGCTGTTGTTGGCAAACATTCCTTTGACACCTTCTAGTAAGATCAAAAAGGGGACAGCACTGAAACTAGCTGAAATTGCATGAATATGATGTCATAGGGGAAGGTACTGAGTAGAAAGATAAAGACTTCTATGACTCTAGAAAGAAAATGATGTACGAATAAGTTTCTGCATGTTAAGAAGTTTAACCAATTTATTTTCATATATATGTATATTTTATATGTACAAGACTGATAAGCAACAGCAATCAATGTCTTCTGTGTCTAAAATAATTTTTCCAAGAAGTATGAAATAAGAATTCTAAGTGATAGGAAAGCTTTGATTATAGTTTTGGCTATATTTTTTCTTTCTAATGTAGTATGCATTAAATAATGCATATCTCATAATCAATTTCCTCAAAATCTTAGATTTGAGAAAATACAGTGAGTATAAATTTGTTCTCCAATCTTCTTTTACATGAGCAATTTCCTTTGAACAGACGTTGATGTGCCCTAGTATCTTCTTTGCATCTTCTTCTTCTTTTATTTTCTTTCAAGATTTTTTTTTAAAGTAGTCTCTACACCCAATATGGGGCTTGAACCTGTAACCGTGAGATCAAGAGTTGCATGCTCCACCAACTGATCCATCCAGGCATTGTCTTTCTTGCATCTTCTATAATTTGCAGCTTCTTTAAAGTGGAGTGAGAACTTAAAGTTGGTTAGGAAGAGCAGAATTCAGAAATACTTAGGAGGCGAGATTGGCACTCATCTGCAGATTGGATGTATGGGGCTAAAGAGGGAAGGTAACATGATGGTTCCCAGGTTTCTGGTCAAAAAGGTGGACAAGTTACGACCCAAGGGCCAAATATGGGGAACCATCTGTTTTTGCAAATACAGTTTCCTTGGAACACTGGCGCACTATTCCTTTACATACCTGGCTCATTGGCTGCTCTCACACTACAACAGAAATAAGTCGTTGTGGCAGAGACCATACGGTTCCTAAGACCAACGGGATCTTTGCAGGGAAAGGTTGCCAACTCTTGGATTAGGGGAGCGGTGTTGTCCTTGAATTAGCATAAAGGATAGGAGAGGAAGAACAGATTTATAGGGAAAGGTGATGGGTTTGCTATGTTGGGCTTGTCTTGTAGATGGGTTTACAGATGAGTGAGCAATGTATTTGTTTAATGAAAAGTCTCAAATTCAGTAAAACAAAGAACTGAACTGAAGGCAAAGATATTTTTAATGGTCTGGAAGGAGAATGTTAACACAGGGACAGATACTTTTGGCTCTGGTTGTGAACTAGAAGCATGGGAGAGAGAAAACTTGATATCAAAGGGTTTCCTTCTCAGCCCCCTATGGGGCATAAAGTGTACCAAAAACATACACAGAGCACTTTCTCCGGGAGGACTGGAGACAGAAGTGAGCCCTGGTTGTGCAGATGTGGGAACGGGGAGCATGTCTGTCCTAGCAGCAGAGCCAGTTAGAAGGGAGAGCTTTCCATTTCAACATGATCTTGATGGATGGGATCTCATCAACATCCAGAATATTAAATCTGAAAGTTCGTTTCATAGATACTTTATCCTCTGAAGGTGAAACCAGAAGCTGTATTTTAGTTGGTTTTATTTGGAGCCTGGAAAAAAGTAAAGCTAAAAAAGCATTGTGAGAAAGCAATTTGTAAGAAGCAAAATGATCAGTTTAAAGGACTCCTTTGCCTTCTGGTCCCTTGGAGTAAGGGTGTAGGAGTGGATTTTATGCAAAACAAAAGGTCAGTCATTTCTGGGCTCCAGAAGGATTGCAGAGCTGATGAAGGCCTCAATATTACAGAAAGCAGAAAGCAGCCAGGTCTGGGGGGAAGAGCTCCCAGACCGGTGGGGGGCGGGTGGAAGGAGCAGTGGGGGGAGATTGGAGTGGGGGGTTGGTGCTTAGGGTGGGGTGGAGGTTACAAACACTGGGTTTTTAATCCTAGTTTGGAAATCGCTTGGAATGTCCGGGGAGGAGAGGCCAGTTGGAAAACTAAATAAACGGCCAATTGAAATTCATTAGACAACTTGAGTGAGTTCTGATCAAACAGAGTAGAATTACCTGCATTGTGAAAAATCAAAGAATGCCAGGAAAAAAAGAAAACACAGATGAGATAAAGAGATCAACATTAGCCCTCTTCTGGGAAGACTTGCTAGGGTATTAATAACCTGCTGGAGCTTTTGATTTTTGTGACTGCCTCTGAAATGAACAATCTGTTCACTGTGGGATAAGGATTTGCCAAACCGAGTTCACCAATTCACCCCAGATAAGCGGCTCCGTGCGCCTCAAGGCTCCGCTGCCAGGATAGGCCCTGTCGGGGCGGGGTCCGCATGGACGCTCCTGTGGCCTGAGCTCTGTGCAGTTTTTGGATAAGGAAAGTGGTGCCGGAGAGGAGGGGGGCATCAGGACTGCAGGGGCCCCTGGGGGGCTCAGTGAGGGTCCCACGCAGCTCTCCCGCATGTGGCAACAGGGCATTTACTTCTGGGGGCTGGGCCTCGGACACAGTCCCAAATATTTGAAATGGGAAGGAGACAGAAGGAAAATGAAGCACCGAAGCCAGGCATGGTTGTTAGACTAACCGGCGGCTGGGATGGCCTCCTCAAGGTGACCTTTGGACACGGCTTTATGGAAGTGTGGAGAAATTCTGGGATGCCTGGCAGCCCCTGTTCTTGCTTGTATGCATGGCATGTTGGCAGGCAATTACTGAGCATGGGAAAGGGATTGCATTATTAATATATGAATTATTAATTATTATAATTGCATTTGTCATTTATTGAGCACCAGCCATGCACTAGAAGCTGAGCAGACCTTAAGAGTCCCTGCCCAGTGGGGGGTGACTGAGGTAATTACATTTGAAATAGCTACAATCACCAGCTCACAGAACTTGTGGCATGTACAGCATGCACGGTGTTGACTCCCCTTCTTTTCCTCTCTCTAGATCCATAGATGATTTTTAAGATTTGTTTATGAAAAGATGGAGGATGAGGTTGTTTGTCAGGATGAAAGGTGCTGCATCAGGTTATATTTTAATTAGTATTTATTACATCTCCCCCCCTGGCAATACGCCAAGGGAGCAAATGCTTCTGTGACAAAACACGTGCTGTCCTTTCTTTCTGACCAGCCATCTCTTGCATGAGGGTTGATGGGCGGAAGGGGCGTCCACACATGAGTGGGGGGGACCGATTTGGCCGTGTTCAGGAATCCCTTCTGGGCTCTACTGAGTCACACGCATCACCGTATTTGCGTGGTATGGGTAGCACGTTTTAATATTTAATTCTTAACACGTAACATGTAAAGTCCTAGAATGTTAAGGTTGGAGATGCTTTCAGAAATCATCTTGTCCAAACTTCTCATTTTGCAGATTGAGAAAGCGAGTCTCAGGATGCTGCATACCCTGCCTGAGGTTATACATTTGAGGAGAAGCTGGGACAACGTGTGTGTGTGTGTGTGTGTGTGTGTGTGTGTGTGTGTGTGTGTGTGAAGCCCAGGTCAGGGACCCCACTGCTAGGCCTCGTCTCATTTTCTTTAAATAAAAAGCTACTGTAGAACTGGACTCAGGAATTTGAAAGGAGAAAAATCAAATTCAAGTCATGAGGGTCACTGTAGGAATTTTCCAAGCTGTTCCTTCGCAGGGACTCCTTTTTCCGCTTTCACTCTGTTCATGGAGCAAAGGGCTCCACCGGTGATGCCATTCATTGCGTACAGTGATCCCCACCAGGGGGAGAATGTCTCCATGTCCTCCCTTAGGCAGCCTTCTCTCCAAACTCTGCAGTGGGTCCGAGGAAGGGGCGGGTGAAGGGTTTTGGGTCTCTGTCCCACCCAGGTGGAATCGATCCATCCAGAAGAGCAGGTTTCCCACCCATTGTGGCTGGGAAGGTGGTCAGAGGCCGTGTTGTCAGGGCTCTCCAGTGTGACTCTTCGGGACAGCATCTTTGGCGGTGCTTCCCAAAGGCTCAGGGAAGCACATGGGATCCAGCCACATTTGGTCTGAACCTCTGCAAATCATTTTGGGGCCCCCGGCTGCAAAATGTTGCAAACTTGATACCTCAGAGGCTGCATTTGTCTTTCGGTCCAGGTGTGGGTGGGGACGATGTCTGTGTGTTTCACCCTCTCCTGGCGTGGAAGGACTGCAACGTGATCATCCTCACCTGAGGGATGTTTTTCTGAAATTTTAAGCATCGTAGATGATGTAGGAAAGACGTTAGGGTTCGGGGCTGATGGACAATAAAGAATTCTTGAGATGTCTTTGGTGCAAAAAGGTGATTTTATTAATGCTCGGGGACAGGACCTGTGGGCAGAAAGAGCTGCAGCAGGGTCATGAGGAGTGGCGATTATATACTTTCAAGTTGGGAGGCATTAGGGAGAGCCTAAGTCTCTAAGGAGTTTTTTTTTTTTTTTAAGATTTTATTTATTTATTTGCGAGAGACACAGAGAGAGAGGCAGAGACACAGGCAGAGGGAGAAGCAGCCTCCATGCAGGGAGCCCGATGGGGGCCTGGATCCCAGGACTCCAGGATCACGCCCTGAGCCAAAGGCAGGTGCTCAACCGCTGAGCCACCCAGGCGTCCCTATAAGGAATTTTGGAAACAAGATTTCCAGGACCTTGAGGGGGCTGGCTATTGTTGGGAAAAGGTCACTTATTACTGTCTAATAAACCCTTAGTCATGAGACCCTTCCGATGTATGTCAGTGGGTCATATGCTTGGGGGATGATCGTCAGCATGTATCTTGGATGGTAAAGGAAGTTTCCAAAGGAATTTTTATATGTTAAAGTAAACTTACAGGATCCTGGTGGGTCGGGCTAAGATGGCCTTTTTTCCCTTAGCAAAGTATCAGCATGGAGGCAGTTGAGTCCCTAGAGGAAATGTCACTGTGCCTGTTTCGAGAACTTGTCAATGGGCTGTAAGTAGTAAGGAAATTTAATTTGTCCTTTGCCTTTGTTTTCCACATGATAGACATTCTGTATTCCCATTACTCTTAATAAGCACTCTGCTGGGGATGGTGGACGTTTACATATTTCCTCTTCCTAAAGGACTATCGTGGGACCGTTTAATAAAACATATGCAGCCTTCAGTAAATGAGTTATTTATTTACAATGAAAATTATAACAGGGGAATATCACCTATAGCAGGGCTTTGCCATTCATTTCTGGGAACACTCTGCATATGTTTCTAGATTCCATCGTCCAGGTAAAGAATCTCTGCATTAAACTGCTCATGTAACCTGGAAATATTTATGTTGGAGGATCAGATCCAGAATCAAGCCTCCAATTTCTTTGCACTCGGGTACGATTTGTTTTTTCCAACTGGATTTTAAAATCTTAGCTTGCCTGAACACCAGGCTCACATGTGCCATCTTGAATGTCTGCTTCTTTACGCACACTGTGCCTCATCACCAACGCCAGCTAGGGCTCTCCTAACGCGGGTGTAGAAATGACCACGTTCCCATCTATTTTTGTAAATGCTTTGGCATTCACACCACATATACATTTTATTGAATTTCCCTGTATTATGGCTTTTCCACTGGGGATTAAGAGGCTAATTCAGAGGCCCGTGATTACAGGAAGATGTGTGAGGAAAGCAACAGGGATACCATTCTATAAGGTCCGCTGGGCCCAAACAAGGAATCCATATGTTTCCATTTCCCTAATAGGCAGAGAAAATAAAAAACAAAGAGGCCTAGAGACTCGCACCTGCATAAGCAGCCGAGCAGAAGTAACCTATAAACACATGAAAAGCAGCTCTCCAACAATTCCATCTGCATTTTATTGAAAGAAACCTTTGAAAAGGAGAGAGAGAAGGTACAATTTACAAGAACCGTGGTATAAATCCTGCCACAGTGCCAATTGCTAAAAGCATTGGAGCCTGGGAAGGAGGGAGAAATCCATTCATTCATTGCCCCCAGAAAATAGGCATCCAGGCCAGCGGCATACCTCATGCGCCCCAAGGGACTTACACCTCTGACGGACTGATTGCATGAATCACCTTGGATTGATTGCTTCTATGTAGAATGTTCCTTTATAGCGTATATGCTTTCTCATTGCGGACCTCGGCTCAATTCCATTCTGCCGATGGAGGCTCTTTGGGACACTTTGCATGAGAGATGCGGGAGACCGGAATGTTTTGTTTGTTGGTTTCTCTGGTGCATTTCAAGACCGATTTAGTCTTAAGCTGGGTGCAGAGGGGAATTCCATCATTGCCACATCAGGTGAATCCCAAATCAATCGAACGGCCTCCTCCCCGCTTCTACAGAGGAGGAGCCTGCACTTTTCTCGTTCACATATTATTGTTGCCCTTTAAAAAAATTCCTGATGGGCACACATGTATCTCTTTTCTTTTCTTTTTTCTTTTCTTTTCCTTTCCTTTCTTCTTTTTCTTTCTTTCTTTCTTTTTCTCTTTCCTTACTTCCTTTCTTCTTTCTTTTCTTTTCTTTTTTTCCTTTCCTTTCTTCTTTCTTTCTTTCCTTCCTTCCTTTCTTCCTTTCTTTTCTTTTTCTTTCCTTTCTTCTTTTTCTTTTCCTTTCCTTTCTTCTTTCTTTCTTTCTTTCTTTCTTTCTTTCTTTCTTTCTTTCTTTCTTTCTTTCTTTCTTCTTTCTCTTTTCTTCCTTCTTTTCTTCTTTCTTTCTTTTCCTTTCCTTTCTTCTCTTTCTTTCTCTCCTTCCTTCCTTTCTTCTTTTCTTTTTCTCTTTTCTTTCTTTCTTTTCTTTCTTTCTTTTCTTTCCTTTTCCATGAGAAAATAATTTTGTTCATCAGATGTATCCTTTAGTGCGGCTGGTATTGATGGGGTGCTCAGAGTAGCTGGGCTCCAAGGCTTACATTTCTCTCTCTCTATCCACCTTGCCTGGCTCTTCCGGAAACATCGGGTTTCTCTTTGGGGGGGGGACTGTGCAACTGTTTCAGACTTTTAAGGGTTTCGAGGACTGTCACAGTGGTCATTTTTTGCTCGTTGTCATCCGCAGTCTCGGCGAACGTGCTCGGGCCACCGAAGCCGTCGCTGGAAAACTTCTTCAGATCATCTGAACTGACCATGCCGGACCCCAGGTTTGGGAGACCCGGAGCTGGGGAAGGTTCCGAGGTCCCTCCCGCAGGACGGCGCCCGCCCAGCCGCGGCCCGGGGTCCAGCGCGCTCCCCGGGATGCTTGTGCCCGTGACGCGCACTAGGGGGCGCTCCAGGCCCGCGCACCGGAGGGAGCCGCCAGCTCCGGCTCGACCGCGACTCCTCCGCGGTGGCAGCGGCCCCGCCCCCCGGGGCAGGTGCCTGGGACCAGCTCCTCCCCTCCGCGCGTCCTCAGGCTCCCACCCACGCCGACCTGCCGCACCCCTGCGGGCCGAGGAAGCAAGTGGGCTGCAGCTGGCAGGAAGCATGTAGCAAAGGCTGGGCTGGCTCCGCCCCATGGGGAGCCCCTCTTCGAATCCTTGAGCAACGAACCGAACCGGGGTGCAGCACTCCTGCCGCCTCCAGTGACTTAGTTTGACAGTAGGAAGTGATTACAGTTTTTATGAATGAATGGATTAATTCATTCATGCACGCCTGCATGCATGAATGAATTAATGCATGCATGCATGCATGAATGAATTAATGCATGCATGCATGAATGAATGAATGAATTAATGCATGCATGCATGAATGAATGAATGAACGAAGGACCCCAAGAGCCTGCTCTGTGGGCGACAGGCGTGGGGGCGTAGGGCGTGGGCCGTGCTGACCCCGAAGACATGGATTTGAGTCTGTTCTCCAAACTAAAAGCCTCCAACAGGCTGCTTAATCTCTCCGAGTCTCTGAATCTCAAGCCTCAGTTGTCTTCTCTGTGAAATGGGCACGGCACCGCGGCTGTGAAGGACAGGGCCGACTGTGGCCTCGGGGCCTCCTCTCCTTCCTCTGTTTTCCCCACACCACCTTCTCCTGATTTTTCTTTTTTCTTGTATTTTATTACTTAAAAAAAAAAAGAGTTATCATTAACGTGGACCCCTCCTGAGTTTTCTTCTCCTTCTCAAGCTTTTAAAGTCTTCTATGTGGACTTTCTCCCCTTCTGTGGTTTCTTAAATACTGGTGTCTCCTGGGTGCCAGCCATGCCCGTGTCTTTTTTCCTTTGTTGTGGCTGTCTTAAGCAATCCTGTGTGCTTTCCCTGGGTGACATGCCCCCCAGGATTAGCTTGGCCTGTGAGTTCCCACATCCCCAGCTCTTGTTCCCTGCGCGTCCGGCTCCAGAGCCAGAGGTCAGCACCCCTGCCCGTGTCCACACAGACCTCCAGAGCGCACTCCGCATGCCACAGCCTGACTTGATGGCCGCTTCCTTCTCTGACTCCTTGCCTCTGCTTCCGAATTTCCACCTTTACAAATGACATAATTTCTACCAGGCTTTTAAGCTGGACCCTGGGAGTCATCCTCAACTCTTTCTCCTTCCTTCCCAATACCCGTGGGTCACCAAGGTCGGTTGGTTTCCCTACCCTGCTCTCCATCTGCATGTCTTCACCAGCTCCCTACAGCCACCCTGGGGGTGGCTCCCCCTCTCTCTACCTGCTTTCTCTGCCTCCAGCCTCCTCCCTGCCACACTTTTCACCCCTTCCCAACTGCAGTCAGAAAGACCTTTCTCAAATGTGGATGCCATCCTCCTGGGATCTTTGTGATAAAAGGTGGGCTCCCTGCCTGGAGCACGAGTCCTGTGAACTCAAACCCCTGCTAGCCTTGTCCCATTGTCCCAGCACACCCCCATGGTCAAGGGTGCCATGATGTTCCAGCCCCACAGCCCAGCAGCACCCTGACTCCTCCGGGCTCAGCTCTCCTTGCAGGCCAGTCACAGCTAGCCCTCATGAGTGGGCTTGGGGTCGCTACCACAAGGATGCCTCCTCAACCGACCTCTGTCCCCATGTGGGTGTGGAGAAGGGGCTCTTATGTCATTGTATCTGTCACACTGCATGGTAATTTTTCTTTCTCCCGCCATGGGTAGCACAGGGGCTCTGACGTCTTTCACTCCTTGGCCCAGGACAGTGCCAGGCACACACTCGGTGCTCAGAGGCCGTTGGCTGAAGGTGCAAAGGGTGACTGAACAGGAAGGACCCCCGAACCCTGAAACCCAGTACAACTGAAAGCCTGTGGTCGTCAGGTGGCGCACCTGCTGCAAGGGTCGGAAAGGGGAATTAGACTCAGAACTGCCCTCCGTGGAAACACATCTCGAAAACCAACACACAATGTAATGAATGGTTGACATGGCTCTTACTTAGTTCTTCAGGTCCTGGTGAAGAACTGCGTCATGGTACCTGCGCCAGAGTGTACCCCTGCTCAGGTCTGTCCATGCCTGGAAGCCACCGAGGGGCCCTTCTGTTTCTCATGGACCAGCCTCGGCTCTCAAAGGACATGAGCGCCTTCATTTACTTTAAGTGGCCAGATTGCCTTGCTCGGGGACACCTAACGAGGTTAGCAGATGACTTCAGCAGAAGAGAGCACAAAAAATGGAAAGAAAGATCATAAACGCCTTGGGGACTTTGCACCTGGAGACAGGTGGGAGATGTGGAGAGACTCAGCCCTGCAGATTCCCTTTCTGTTCATCCGTGGACTCAGGAGGGAAGCGGTGCTGGGGAGTCTGCAAGAGAGGAGATACATGGTGGCCACAGGCCCCTTCCACTCTTGGATTCTTGGCTCTGTGGAGACTGATCTGTTCTTGCTAAAGGGATGTGATGCAAGGTCATCATGCCAAAGCGTTGGTGGGTGGTCTGGTCGCCACACAGAGGCACATGGCCACAGTGTTTAGAGAACAAGTGACTGGGACCTTTTGGCTGTGTAGACCTCCTCTCGCTCCCTCCCTAGATGCTTATGGTCTCAATCACATTCCATTCAGAGTTGATTTTCTGGCAATGTCTCCCACGCGGCATGGTATCATCTATAGTTCAAGACTTTTCTTTATGCTCAGGTTCTTTTAATCACAGCCAAGGGTCCCCTAGTTCACCAGGATCAATATCCTGACAGGATGCAATCCATCAGCTCGGGCAGCCTGCCGGGAGAAGGGCTCTGAGCACGATGGTGGCCAGAATGGGTGGGCTTGGCCTTGCCGGGTGGACACCTGTGTTGCCTCACCAGGTTCAAGTCAGCAGGGCCCGCCAGGCTAGTGAGAAGCGGAGGATGCCAGAGTGTGAAGGCCAGTCCCTGTGGCCCTCGGGAGCTCAGGTGCTTCTGTGTGCACCTGCTGGCTATGAGATGCTTTGCCCCTGCATGCTGCCGTGGGCTGAATTGTGACTGTGGGACATGTGGCTTGCAGGTCTCCGCACTCGTGGGTCATCTGGTCTCCCCTCCCGCCAGGCAAAGTATTCTCCAGAGTGTCTTTCTTCATTTCTGTCCAGCACAGTTATATGAGTCTCGTGTAACAGAGTTTCGGCCACTTTCCTTGAGGGAGTAATTCCACACACATACGCAGTTGGTTTCACAAAGTCTGCAGCATTACATGATGGATGCCGTGTGGGGCAGAGAGCATTCCCTGGTTGGGCACTCGGCTCTTCAAACAACGCAACACAAGGCTCCTTAACTCCTTTACTCTCTCTTTTAATTCCTTCCTTTCTTTTTAAAAATTAAATAAATTGAATTGCCCTAAGAACTGCTGCTTCATTCCTAAATATCATCCCTAAATATCATAGCGCTTTCAGATCTGGTGTCTGGATTTTCCTCTAAGCTGAGGATCTTCTATAATTTTAAGGCCCTTTCTAAAAGTGCTTTCCTTAATTTTTTAACATGCTGCATTGTGGTGAATTTAGCAAAAACAAATCCATGGGCTCGTTTCGTTTATCTTTATTTATTTATTTTTTTTGGAAAAGATTTTATTTATTCGAGAAATCGAGAGAGAGGCAGAGACACAGGCAGAGGGAGAAGCAGGCTCCACGCAGGGAGCCCGACGTGGGACTCAATCCCGGGTCTCCAGGATCAGGCCCTGGGCTGAAGTCGGCGCTAAACCGCTGTGCCACCCGGGCTGCCCCCTGTTTATCTTTACCCCAGTCAATCCACATGCACGGCTACTTGAAATTAGACCGACATGGGTTGAAATCTAAGAACTGTCCCCTTTTACTGGCTGTGTGACCTTGAGATACTTGTTTAGCCTCCCTGAGAATCCAGTTCTTTATGTGCCGTGTGGGATTGATATTATTTCACTGGGTGGTTGTGAGTATTCAATGTGATACGTGCTTAGGGGAGCTTGGCTCGTTGCAAGGATACTTCTTAGTATTCACTTGATATCAAAATGGCCCTAATAGGCAGACCCAAAGAGGTGTCTACTTATCACTCTGGAGGTGGGCTGATGTCATTTGAGGGGAGAGAGACTCAGAACTAAGAATCAGGAGTCCCAGCTCTGCCGCTTACTTCCCTGCCAGCTTGACAAGTTACATCACCTCCCTCAGCCTCATGCCCTCACCTAGAAAAATGGCCATTGCCAGGATGACATGAGGTGATGTCTGGAGAAGCAGGTGGCTCTGTGCTTGGGACTTGCGGGCCTCTGTTGCAAAGACTGAGGAAAAGCTGTGAAGCTAACTGCTTGTTCCTTCTCTCAACCCCACTCACTCCCCCTCTTTCCTGCAGATAGAGACCTAGTAGCAGCACCACCTTCTGTGTGATTCTCAGTCACCATCCCAGGAGATGCTCACTGTTTCCAGGTTACTGATGAGGAAGCACCCCTGGCCTCTGTGTGATAATGTCCCACAGGACCTCTGCACTACGTAACATGCTCCTGACGTGCCTGAATCGGTGGATTTTAGCAGAATAGCCTGGAGAGTTTTAAGCAGTTTGAAGGCATGTGGGGGATGAAGATCTTAAGAAGGTGCTCTAGAAGGTACCCCCCTTTTCTATGGGAGGTGTTTGGCTAAGTGAACTATAGCAGCCCAGGGTCCTGCTGAAAAACGGGCCATTTGACTTAACTCTCTGAGGAAGTGGACTCGGGTAGCAGTCAGTTAGAGAATCTTGGTCTCTATTCGTACTCCACTTCCTTTCAAACCCTGGCTGAGGCCAGACCAGCACTCATTCACCCAGAGATACAAGCAATCGATGGTATTTAGTGCATAAACCCCGCTGCAGGATCTTTCATTTTAATATCGAAGGAAACAAGTTACAGGAATGTCTCTCTAATTAGAATCTTAGAAGTGAATTTTAGACACTATCCAGTGAAAGAAGTATTATTTCAGCCAGCTCAACCCTAAGATCCCACCAGCAGTTCTAAAGACTGGCCTTGGAGACACTAATGCATTTTATTATAAAAGCTTCAAGGAGATGTCTGGCAACAATAAGTACTGGTACTCCATGGAACCAAGGCAGGCTTTTGGGAGAAAGTCCATCGAAGACAGATTTGCTCTGCAGATGGAGAAATTCAGTGGCAGGTCTCAGGCCACCATTTCTGACAGGTGAGCCCTTCTCCACCAGGCTGAGGAACACAGCTCTGGGCTGTCATATCCAAGGCTACGTTCAGATGCCTTGTGCCCAGGCCTACTTTGGCCCCACCTGCGGCCACCTGGGCCTGCGGGCAGCTGGGGGACTTCTTTTTTTAGGATCTTTTCTACGTACACAGTTTAGGTTAGTATTCCACGGGTGCCATGAAAAAAAGTCACGGAATTAGGAGTAGAGAAGGAAGGAAGAAACAGTTCAGCGGATCAAATGAATGGAAGTGGATGGTAGGGTAAAAAGTGAGCAGATGTGGTAAATTGAATTTCCAGTAAAGGCAAAAGTGGAAATGAAGAAGCAGCCAGGAGCACTGTGATATAACCGTCAAGCAGGGCAAACCCAACCAGGTTGGGTTCTCCAAATGGGAATAAGCAGGATCCTTGGTGGCAGGAGGGAATGGTGCCAAGGAGGGAACAGAGTGAGGAAAGAGGCCTTTACAGACACCTCGTGGTTGGTAGAATGATGGCCCCTCAAAGGTGTCCGTGTTCGAATCCGGAATCTACATTACACGGCAGTGAGGAACTCAGGCTGCTAATCGACCGACCTTACGATAGGGAGATTATCCTCCATTATCCAAATGGGTGGCCCAAGCTAACCACAAAGGTCCTTTCAGTGTGGAGGAGGGAGGCTGAAGTTCAGTGTACGAGAGAGATTTGGAAGATGCTTTGAAGGTGGGGAAGGGGCCGTGAGCCAAGGAGTGCGGGCAGCCTCTAGAAGTTAGAAGGCAAGGACGTGGAATGTCCTGTGGGGCCTCCAGAAAGTCATGCAGCCCCGCTGACTCGGGCCTTACCTTTATAGCCCAGTGGGACCCCAGCTTAGTCCTCGGACCTCCCCAACTGTGACATACTAAATCCACATGTTTTTTTTTTTTTATAATAAATTTATTTTTTATTGGTGTTCAATTTACCAACATACAGAATAACACCCAGTGTAAATCCATGTTTTGAAGCACTACCTCTGTGGTGGTTTGCTCCAGTGGTGAAAGGAAACCAACACACGCGCTTTCGTGGCCTCACCATTTTGCTTGAGGCCATCACCGAGTCTGTTGACTACAGTTAACTTACATACGTGCTCACTGTGAAGTCTTCATTACTTTCATTGAAAAATGGGATGGGTCCTCAGATGTTTTAAGCTTTAATGAAATACATAACACTAAAACAAGCCCATTGGTAATATTTCTTTGCTAATTTGAAGACATTGGCAGATCCTAGATGTCCCTGGATCCCCATTCGGAACACTGATAGCCAGTGGGCAAGCCTGCCAGCTCACAGAAGTTTCTGTTTGAAGGGATGCCAGACGAACCGACGTGCATGCCACAGATCCAACCTTCCACACACAACTTATAAACACACAGAGAAAGTGGACACTGGGTCCCCTTCCTTGGAACCTAAGCTCTGAGAAGGGAAGCCCATCATCTCCTGCGTCTCTGAGACGAAGCCACCAAGTGGCAGATATTGCTTGTTAAAGTGTTCATCAGACTACCAAGAAGGAGATCCCTGTTTCCAAATAGAGGCCTCTGAAAGGGCCTCACTTTAGTACATACCCCATGATTTATGGAGGAGACAGGGACACATTAATTGGGGCTGGGACTGAGGTCCCCTTCTTCCCTGCCTCATGTTAATGCTCTTGCACGAGGCCATAAGAGCAGCTGTAAAGTCAGCAGCAGCCTGCGGTACATGTTCAGCCCTGTTTTTTAAATACACATTTCCTCCTGCATTAGTGCATTACTGGCTGACTGTTAATTAGTCCTCTGGTCCTGGTAAGTCTTTTTACTTACAGGCTAGAATCTCCATTAGCACTCCCACAATGGCAGTGCTCGCTTTGCCCATTATGTTTTGCCGTGGAAGAAAAAGCATAGGTTTTTGCCATTTCTTTTTAAAGGAAAGGAAACGAAAAAACACAAATACAAAGAATGTAGCTCTGGGTGTCAGCTGTGGCCCATGTCTTG